ATTAATTTCTCTTATGAATCTCATGAGCTCGGTTTTGAAAGGGTCGTTTGGATTGTTGACGTTCCTAGATCCACTACCGGTACCTTCTGCCTCATTAAAATCAAACTCCTCCCTTGGAGTGTCGTTACTGGTTCTTTTAACTGTTTGATTTTCAAGTATGCTAGGAGGAATCTGGGCTCTTCCATTAGCATTACAGGAAGCACCCGATAACTCCTGTTTCAACTTTGTCATCACCTGATCTTATCTTGAGAGGTGATCCATAATTTTCCTTTGTTGCTCTCTCAAGATTTTGATCGTTTCAACAAGGTATTCATCATCTGCATCATCAGGAGTTGGACTCCTCACATGTCAAGAATTTTGACTTTTGCGAACTAGAGTTGTTTCATCTCCTTCATTGCTGGTTTCATTGGTTGAATCATCACGTCGGAACACTATTCTCATGTTCATTGTGTGGTCTAACATTATAGGAATCATTGTCATCATTAGCTGTCATATTTGATTTTTCTTTTGCTAAGAAATGAATCAAAATCTATTAGTAACAGATGAATGGATCAAAGCAATTACACAATCGTCTATGCCACATGGTGGGTGCCAAACTATTTACTCGTAAAATTGTACAATTAAATTTATAACGTGGCTTACAAACACATAAATTAATTTGATCCAGAAATATAAAATAAACAAGAACATAAATAAGATTATAAAATAAATTTTAAAGGACATACAAGTCTTACTATGAATGATGTTATAGAATGAGAGCTTATTCAAGTTTGTGTGTAGAATGTTTCGTGTCTTACAATGGATACTAATTCTCCGGTAACAGAAGTAAGAACGATATTAAGAACAAGGTAAAAGAATGATGTTATAGAATGAGAGCTTATTCAAGTTTGTGTGTAGAATGTTTCGTGTCTTACAATGGATACTAATTCTCCTATTTATAGCTATATTTAGGGAGACAAAATTCCCAAATAAAGCTCCTCTTGAATGAGAATAAAACTATCATTGATGGGTGCATAACGGTTGGCTATAAATGCAAATATTCTCTAAAACGGCTGCTCATTCAATGTTATCCGATATCAATTCTTCAAATTTTTGCTATCGGTTATCGTGTCTTCGGAATTCACCCAACACCAGTCACATGCTTACAACCGATATCAACTATTTGCTGACTCATATCTTACCTGTTTTCAACTCCATGTGTCACCTCCTCATTCATCCAACTGTCATTAACCAATTTTACTGCATACAATAGTGTCATTTGCTATTTAATCAATATTATAAGTTTTGTGCATTAATAGTGGACTAGTTTTTACATCATCAAACTAAATTGATCAAACATCGGCATAACATTTTATAACAAGTATGATATAGTAACTCAAAAATAGAGTAATAACCTATTAAACTTGTATATAATCAATTAAATTATATTTATCATATAAAACTTTTTTATGCTATTAATATATATTATAACTTAAGTCGTTAAATCAATTTTCAAATATCCTAGCCCATTTCCCTTTGGGTCTTGGAATCCCAAGGGAGGGAGGGAGACGGGGTTAATCGTAAAGGACCCTAAAATAGAATTACTGTATACAGAATTAGTGCCTGAGATCTTGTTGGTTGGTGGGGTAGGGGAGATTGGACGTACGCAAAGTCGCAAACATAGACAGTGTATATTGAATTACTCAAAAAGTAAACCTACCAAGTCAATTCGTCAATATTTTTAGATGATTTACATACTATCTGAAAAAACATATATTCAGAGCAAGTAGAATAAGATGAAAAAATAATCGTTTTCATACTAAGATAAAACATCAGGTAAAGAAGGTCCTTCTATTTATGAAAACGAAATGTATCAATTTAGATCCTATATAAAAAAAACTCAATATACACTTACTGTAGAAACATATTATAAAGGAATTACTTATTGAGGAAAAATACGATGATAATGACGGAAGTGACGCCATATCTATTTATTCATAATTTAGCTCCGGAGGTAGTGTGTGACAACTGACAAGTCACAACTTGATTATATTTATTGAAATACAAAATGGACCTACTCAACATTTGGTTGCAAAGGTGATTTTATCAGATACAATTTGTTGTATTGGTGGAAAAATAGACTCACCACGTGGACTAATAATATGTTGACGGATGGCATAAGAGTCAAAACGATAAAGAAGAATGAAGATTAGAGAAGGCATGAGTAAAACACTCACGTGATCGTCTACAAAGATATCATACCTAATAGTTGAAAAAGAGAAAACAAGTGCAGAATGAATAATTAAAGGCCACGAAGATGGAAGATTCATTAATAGCCATGAATATGAAAAGAAATCAGCATAATCCCTAATTATGCACGATTAGTTGTTATTACCATAACCGTTATAAATTACCCATGTAACGGGAAATCAATGTAATAAATATTAGTAACACGCAGAAATTAAGTAGGACAAATCAGTTACAAATTGTACCCTTATATAAATCCATTTACCATATTTGTACCCCCATCAAGATATTCACGAAATTATACTATCAATCATCTATATTTTTATTACTATCTGATGTTAGAAGATCTTATTCTCTCTTATTGGAAGGAAGTTGCGACTATCAATAAGATTTTTTTTTCCTTATTCTCTCAATATTTTATTTTCATTATTTACTATTCATTTATATTAGGAAAAGTGAAGTAAAATTGGTTATTAAACAACAACATACCAGTATAATCCTACATAGTAGAATCTGGAGAGGGTAGTGTGTACGTAGACCTTACCCCTACCTTTGTGGAGGTAGAGAGGCTGTTTTCAATAGACCCCCGGCTCAGGCAAACAGAGGTACCACAATAATAACAAGAAACAATACGGGACAACATCGAAAAACTATGTAGAAGCAACATACAAAAAAACGGAAAAAAAAAGAAAGAAAGAAAAAATAGGTATTCAAATACGCCTACTACCAACCAAATGCGAGAGTACGTACTAACACTACTAGTATGGATAATCTAGACTACCTAACCTATTATCCTAATCTTAGACCTCCATACCTTCCTACGACGGGTTATGTCCTCGGTCAGCTGTAGCTGTGCCATGTCATGCCTAATTACCTCACCTCAACTCTTCTTCGCCCTGCCTCTACCTCTCCTAAGGCCCTCCAATGTCAACCTCTCACACCTCCTTACCGGAGCGTCTGTGCTTCTCATCCTCACATGTCCAAACCATCTAAGCCGTGCTTCTCCTATCTTGTTCTCAATAGGGGCCACACCCACATTGTCCCGAATAACTTCATTCTGAATCCTATCTAATCTGGTGTGCCCGCACATCCATCTCAACATCCTCATCTCTGATACTTTCATCTTCTGGACGTGAGAGCTCTTGGCTGGCCAACACTCAGCCCCATACAACATAGTTGGTCTGACCACCGCTCTATAAAACATACCTTTAAGTTTTGGTAGTACCTTCTTGTCACACAAAACATCGGAAGCAAGTCTCTCTTTCATCCATCCCGCCCCAATACAATGTGTGACATATTCATCAATCTCCCCATCCCCTAATAGACCCAATGTACTTAAAACTCCCCCTCCTAGGGATGGCTTGTGAATCCAGCCTCACATCCCCTTCCATTTACTGAGTAGCGTATCTAAACTTACACTCCAAGTATTCTATCTTGGTTCTGCTCAGCTTGAAACCTTTAGACTCCAGGGTCTGTTTCCACACCTCTAACCTTGCGTTAACACGTTCTCATGTATCGTCAATCAAAACAATGTCGTCTGTAAATAACATGCACCACGATACCTCCCCTTGGATGTGGCGAGTCAGTACGTCCATCATCAGGGCAAACAAAAAAGGGCCCTGATGCAACCCCATCATGATCGAAAAATGGTCCGAGACCCCTCCCACTGTCCTCACACAGGTGTTCGCTCCCTCATACATGTCTTTAAACACCCTAATGTAGGCCACAGGTACTCCTCTAGCCTCCAATCATCTCCACAAAACCTCCCTTGGGACTTTATCATAAGCCTTTTCTAAATCGATGAACACCATATGCAAGACCCTCTTCCTCTCCCTGTATTAGTCCATCAATCTCGTAACAAGGTGAATGGCTTCCGTAGTTGAACGCCCTGGTATAAACCGAAACTGGTTCTCGAAAATAGATACCCTTTTCCTCACCCTTAGCTCCACCACCCTCTCCCACACCTTCATAGTGTGACTAAGCAGCTTAATACCCCGATAGTTGTTACAATTTTGGATATCACCCTTATTCTTGTACACAAGAACCATCGTGCTCCATCTCTACTCTTCGGGCATCTTTTTCGTCCTAAAAATGACATTAAATAACCTAGTAATCCACTCCAAGCCCGCCCTGCCCACACTCTTCCAAAATTCCACCGGGATTTCATCTGGTCCGGTTGCTCTGTCCTTGCTCATTTTACGCATAGCCCCTACAACCTCCTCAACTCTAATCTGCCTGCAATACCCAAAGTCGCAACGACTCTCGGAGGATCCCAAATCATTCAGAACAATGTCTTTGTGCCCATCCTCATTCAAGAGACTATGGAAGTAAGTCTGCCATCTCCGACGGATATGCGCCTCATCCAACAAAACTCTACCTTCTTCGTCCTTGATGCACTTCTCTTGGTCTAAGTCACGGGCCTTTTTATCTCTCACCTTGGCTAGCCTAAAAAGCCTCTTATCCCTACATTTACCCTCAAGTTCTTCATATAAACGACTAAATGCTGCAGTCTTAGCCACTGTAACCGCTAATTTTGCCTCCTTCCTAGCCAACTTATACCCCTATCTATTCGACTATTTCTCCTCATTGTCAATGCTTTCCACTAGCTTCAGATACGCCCCTTTTTGGATGTTCACCTTTCTTTGGACCTCTTCATTCCACCACCAGTCTCCGTTGCAACTACCATTGTAACCCTTAGAGACCCCTAGGACCTCTCTGGCAGCTTTCTTAATGCACTGCGTCATCCACATCAGGCTCGCATCCCCACTACTTCTCTAAGCTCCCATAGTCAACAACTTAACTCCTAACTCCTGCGCTTCGTCTTCAGTCAAGGCTCCCCACTTGATCTTAGGTTGGCCATACACTGCCATCTTTCTCTTCTTCCTCGTGATCTCAAGGTCCATCACCAGGAGCCTTTGAAGGGTCGTGAAGTTCTCACTCGGGATGACCTTGCAATCCGTGCAAAGACCTTTATCGGACCTCCTGCAGAGAAGATAGTCAATCTGGGTCCTGGCCACCGAGCTTCGGAATGTGACCAAGTGTTCCATCTTCTTCAGAAAATTCGAGTTTGCTATTACCAAATCAAACGCTCTAGCAAAATCCAGCTGTGAATCCCCCTCTATTTCTATCTCCAAAATCGAAACCACCATGTACATCATCATAGCCCCCAGACATCACGCCAATGTGTCCATTGAAATCTCCTCCGATAAAACGCTTCACAGTATACCGCGCACCATCTCATCCAAATCCTCCCAAAAACGTCTCTTGACTTCCTCATCCAAGCCTGCCTGGGGTGCGTATGCACTGAATATGTTCAAAGTAAATCCACCAACAACTAACTTAATACTCATTAGCCTGTCGCTCACTCTTCTAACCTCTACCTCTAAATCCTAGAGGTCCTTATAAACCAAAATACCAACCCCGTTCCTGCCCCCTTGCTCCCAGAAAACCATAGTTTAAACCCGTCTGCATCCCGCACCCTATCTCCTACCCATCTAGTCTCCTGTACACAAGCTATATTAATCTTCCTTTTCTAGAGAATCTTCGCTAACTCTATAGAATTTTCAGTCAAAGTTCCTATGTTCCAAGACCCAACTCTCAACCTGGTGGCTCCCTTAGCCCTCTTATCCCTCTTGCCCCCTTACCTCCCGCACCCAATCCCCCGCAATGACCCCCTCCCCNATTGTTCAACAAAGCCACTATAATCTAAGAGACACTACACAAGCACTACCCCAAAACATGCGATGAATTTAAAAATAAAATAAATCACCGAAATATAATCTTTAACTAAAAGGCAGTAAAACGGGCAATGACTTAAACTACACTAACTAAAGGGAATTAATTCTACAACTAGCAGTCACAAAAACCAGCAAGCAAAGATTCAAGACAAAATGATAAATAGTAATCGAAGTTCTTGCTAATGTAAATAGTAAGAGTGAATATGGACAAGATCAAATATGCAGGAAACAGATACTATTAATGCTAAAATAGCAAATATCGATATAAAAGAGGAACGATAAAACCTGGATCGCAACGCCTGGAATTCTGTTTGTCAGAAGCAATGGAAATCTGCTGGTCGTTCTTGGGCCTCGATTCCGAGCCCTAGTTTCTTTGTCCTTAAAACTATTGTCTTTGCTCATAAAAACTCTTTTTGGTTAAATAAATTGGTTCCGTTACCCGGAAATCTACTACTTTTCTTACTTTTCATTTATATATTTTGTCTTTAGCAATAAATTATATCTGGAAATGATCAAATTGTTCAGTTTGAAGATGGACAAAAATGAAGGACTCCTCCGCACAAAACACCCGCACATTCTCCACAACATTTAGGAGAAAATTCACCTGTTAGATCTATTAATCGCAATGCTGGACAACAATATAAGGAACAGTCAAGTGTGAAAGATGACTTGAAATAATTTATTGCACAGCAGATCGGTGAAAGTTTGCGTGCTTTAGCAAGTGGGTTACCAAGTGTTGTTTAGGTTCCACCACCAGTTAATACAACTATGGAAAATCCTTATTCAGGGCTTGAAAACTTTGGAAATAGAGAGATACCAAATAACTTTGGAGACTGAGGGTCAGGTACGCCAAATAATTATAATTTGTAAAATTTAGTATTGACTTTGCAGAAGCAACTCAAGGAACAAAATGAGCGGATAGAATAGATACTGGGAGTATCACCTATGATTAAAGGAGTGGATATAGATAAATATTCACAACAGCTAAGGAAGTCAAGTGCAGCACCATTACCAATACCAAAAAAGTTCAAAATGCACGATACTCCTAAGTATGGTGGGACTACCGACTCACGGGATCATGTTACTGTGTTTACTACAAGAGTAAAATGCAATGACTTAACCAAGCAAGAAATTGAATCAGTATTGTTAAAAAAAATTGGTGAAACCCTTACGAAGGAGCACTAACATGGTATTCTCTCTTGCACGAAAATTCAATTGACTCTTTTGCTGAGCTTGTAGACTCATTTATAAAAGCACATTCGAGAGCTCAAAAAGTAGAAAAAGGATGCGAGATATTTTCAAGGTAAAATAAGGAAGTACGAAATTATTCAGAGAATTCGTGGATCGCTTCCAACGAGAAAGGATGATGTCACACACGTACCTGATAATTGGGCAGCAATGGCATTTGCTAGCAACCTGAATGAGAGAAGTTCGGAAGCTACGAGAAGACTAAATGAGAGTTTATGTGAATTTCCAGCATCTACTTAGGATGATGTTTATAACAGGTATAGCATAAAGTTACGAAGAGAATAAGACACGGTATCCCAACCAATGGTGGAAGAGAAATTCAGATCTAGACAGTCAGAACCAGAAAGGAGATCCAGAAAAAAGAATGAAGCTTACATGGGACTTGCGGGGCGAGATCTTAGGCCAAAACCAGAACATGCACGATCTGAGCAGAGATCGCGGCAGAAGGATGCATGTTCTTCTTCCCGATTCAAAAAGGAACATGGTATGACAAGAAACAACGATCAAATTTTCCAATCAAAAATAGGAGATTACAACTTCAATGTCAGTACTTCCGAGTTAGTAGTTATGTTAAGAGGAATGGGCGATAAGATATGGTGGTCCAATGTCACGATCCAAAATACCAAACCTTCGTGATGGCGCCTAACACACCGGCTAGACAAGCCAAAACAAAACAATAAAGAACTAGAACAACAGAATTTATAAAAAATAGTATAAGTCTGAAATCTCAATATAGCGAAATACTGCTAATACAAGGTAAATCCCTTAGAAACTGGCAAATACGGAGTCATGAGCTCTAAACTGGAATATAAGTCTGAAAACTAAATAGCAATACTGCCTGAACTGAAACAATAATACATAAGAAAAGACAAGTCAAAACTGCGGCCAAGAATGTATCTCTACCACGCCTCTCGAAGCTCAGTCCAACGAGCAAGTCTATTGCTGATAACTGGTCCCCACACTTGGATCTGCATAATTAAATACAGAGTGTAGTATGAGTACAACCAATCCAATATACTAAATAAATATCTTAACTAACATCGGCGAGGTAAAAGAAGCAAGAATTATAAATGATACCTACTATAACCTGTACAGTTTTATAAATCCAACAAGTACAGAACAATAATGTGATCATGTATAAAGTACCGAAAGGACTATCTGTATGTGTGTGTACAATTACTAAATCTCTGTTCAGCCACTGGTACAACATATAAGATGATATGCAGATAAATCAGATAATAAACCATGGACGTTGCAAGTAAAGGTGAAATGCAATTCCAAACAACACTGGTCAAACTTTTCCTCAACCTTTCCATATTCGTACCAAACCACTGATAAATTTTCCTCAATAACCGCGTGTACACCATCAAGAGAGAAACATGAAAGGGTGACCCTAGGGGGATGGATCCGTATCCATATGCAAGCACGGCCAATTCAACGTGCTACCAGCCTGGCGTGGTCACACGCTCAATATCATAATCCGCCCGGTGTGATCACATGCATAATATCATAATCCGCCCAGCGTGGTCACATGCATAACAACACAATCCGCCCGACGTGGTCACGAGCATCTAGTCCAATCGTATCACATAGGAGAAAATAAACATGAACACATGTATATGATGAATGAATAACAAATCTCATGCTCCTGGACTGGTATAATGACATATTAAAGTGTAGGCATGTGCAAAGTGTGCTATCATAGCTCAAATCGGAAATTTCATCACAGAAATAGCATAAACCAAGTTCATTCAAGGATTTAACCTCTATGTAGCCTCAAACATGGCTCAGGTAGTTTACAACAAGGTTACAAACATGAGAAATATTATAGCTTAAAGTTTAACAGTCAACTCTAGGCACATCATAGCCTAAGCACTACCTGAGCATGAATAAATACTCTGGTGTTAGCACAGGGGCTCAAACCCCACACATGTGGCACCCAGAGCACGTAGCTATCACAAATAATTCAGGCAACTAGTGCCTCAACGAAGTTTAAATAAGATACTTATCTCAGGCAAATCAAATCACTCCGCTATCAAGCCCTTCCCACGCGTATCAATCTTTGGACGACGCGAATCTAGCCAAAATAACGTAATACCATCAATAAAGTCGTAAGAAATGGTTCCAAAAGATAAAGCTAAGGTCTTTAACTCAAATCGAAAAGTCAACCGAAAAAGTCAACGCCTGACCCGCACCCCGGAACCCGGCACAATTCATAAATTTTGAACATCCATTCACTTACGAGTCCAATCATACCAAAATCATCCGATTCTAACCATATATCGACCCTCATATTCTCAAATTTTACTCTCCAATAATATAGTACAAAAATCTCCAAATTCTTACATAGATTCATGAAAATTAAGTGTAATAATCAATGGTTATTCAATATTTATGGATAAAAGTAATTAAAATTCACTTACATCTTTAATCTAGGAGGAAAAATCTCTAAATATTGCCCCACTCCGAACTCCAGAAACCCAAAAAAAAAATGAGAAAAAAAGACCAAACCCGCGTCTTAAAAGCTCATGCCCAGCGATCCCGCATCTACGATACCGCTTTTGCGAAATCCACTAAAACCCCAACCTGCCGCTTTTGCGGCTACATTCCTGCTTATGCGGGTCCGCTTATGTGGTCTTACTTGCCCTTCTACGCGTCCGAACCTGTGGAAGCCTTCCGCATCTGCGGTCCCAGCCCCTCAAGTCAAAATTCGCTTCTTCGGAACTCTCCTCGTAGAAGTGCATTTGCTTCTGCGGAAACTCTGCACGCACCTGCAAAATTCCCTTAGCCAAACCCTATTCTGCTTCTATGTCTCTCCATCCGGACCTACGGTTTTGCATATGCGGCCAATCCCACCGTAGTTGCGATTACACCAACAACTAAAACCTTACAACAATGCTTAAGTCCAAATATCGATCTGTTAACCATCCGAAACTCACCCGAGGCCTCCGGGACCTCAACCAAACATACCAACAAGTCCTAAAACACGATACAAACTTGTCCGAAGCCTCAAATCACCTCAAACAATGCCAAAAACATAAATCGCACATCGATTCAAGCCTAATGAACAAATGAACTTCCAACTTCTAAAACTAATGCTGAATCATACCAAACCTATTCTGAATGACCTCAAATTTTGCAAACAAGTCATAAATGACACAACA